AATGTTGTTTTAACCAATGAATTGGAATGATTGACAAACTATTTTGTAAAATAATTTTGGTTTTTAAAACTTTTTCTTTAATAATAAAAAATAACTTAAATGAGTTTTGATTTCACCATGAAATTTAAAGTTATATGTCTACAAACTTTAAGTTATGAATCTCACAAAATTAGTTACCAAATGATGATAATTATACAAAATATTTATAATACTATATCCATAACATGCATCCATTCACAAAAATGAAAATTGATCTTTCTCATATCTTATGCATCCATTCCAACTTCCTACTGAACTCATGCTTTCAATATGATAGTCAACCTCGTAATTACGTCAAACTTCGTGCATTTAACTGCATCTACTACTAATGGTTTACAACTAAAAACTTACTAAGATACCACAGAATCGCAGACGAGATGATGCACGGACACCCCAACACGAGGGGGCGAAGGACAATGCACCACTATAACACCACAACGGGCGTGAATAGCGGCGGCGAACCAGGGGTGATGAAGTGTCGAACGGGAGGAAGAGAGAAATAAATAGAGAAAATTGAAAAAAATATGAGTAGGCGATCATGAAGGGTCCGAAATAGGGCTTCTTCCGCCGGAATTTCCATTATTTTTCTATCAAAATTTTTTCTGTCGGCTAAACCACCAGGAACTATTTGTCATGTTTAAGTAACCCGTTGGAAATTCCGCAGGACGTTCCGTTAGAAACTTTTAGTTGAAAAGCCTGCTGACAAATGTTTTTGATTAGAACTTGCCGTCAGCCAAACCAATGGATCAGCCGTCGGAAAATTATAACAGTATATCCGCTGGAAAAATCGTTGGATTATTTTTGGTGAAAAAATCGTTTGTTTGTCTACCGATATTTTCGACAGACTTATGTTCGTCAGAAATGCCTTCGAAAATTGTAGTTTTCCATGTAGTGTGAGGTCCTAGGCTTATCATTATCATCAACTTGTAAGACAATTAGTTTGCCTTTGTCTTTCTTCATCTTAGTAAAGTTATCTAACATATCCCTCTGAGTTATAATCTATTCATGTACTATTAAAGAATCTAAAAGCTCATCAAGAGGATAAGTAGATATATCTTTAGCCTCACTAATTATAATTATTTTAGCATCCCATTCTTCGGGAAAGCATATAAGAATCTTATAAACTAAGTCTTAGATTTTGTTTGAAATAATTTTCTTACTGATTTCTAGCACAAAAAATATTTCTTGAAAACATGGATAGAATAGTGACAAAAACTATCAAAATGAAACCTTAATTAATATGCATCAACAAATGAACTTCTTCAAATATATAAAAAAAATGAATTGAACTCCATTTCTTTTTTTACTTTAGAAGTATATTACATGTTTTGCTCATTATGAATCAGGGATCAAAACCTAAGTTTATGGAATCAATGTGCACATCACTCAAATCGTAATTCTACAGAATTTGTCTTCAAGAAATTGTTTGTCGTTTGTTTGGTCATTCTCTTTTAAGAGGAGGAGATCAAAGACCAAGAAATTCAATATAAATTTTAATGCTGATGCTGGGAGTTAGATGTTAGTGTCTTTGACATGCATCGATCTTATAGATGATGGTTTGTGTTGACGTTATTAGCAACGAAAGATGACAAAAAGTAAATGGGGTTTTTTTATAGCCAAGAGCTATGTTCAAATGATTGTATTTAGACGATGGCCATCGAATGATTCTATTCAAGCATGTGGGAGAGCCATAGTTGGGACACGGTTGTCAAAGAACTTGTTTCTATTTGGTTTTTGATATTTCATAGTTTAAAAAAAAAAGTGCTTAGAAATTGTTATCTATAGTAGCTTTAAAAAAATCTATTTTCTATAGTTGTTTTATAAAGTAATTAAAAATAGATTAGACTTTATTTGATAAATTGACTTTCTTTTTTGTTATTTCAAGTAACTTAGAAGTTTGGTATTTTGCATCCAAACTATTTTCTTTGATTTTGTTGCCATGTTTTTGGCTTAAAAAATAGATAATTTATCAAAAAAACTATGGAAAAATATCATATATAATTAATGTTAGAACGGTTAGAATGGTCTAGAATGCATTTGGATTTGCATTTTGATTAGTACAGTTCATGATATCATACATAAGAACCAATTTCAGCACAAATTCAAAAAAATTCAAGGCCATCTGTACCCAAATTGCATTAGGATATTTTTACATATTTTATTATTATTAATAAGAATTAAAAAAAAAAAAGAATTAGGGGTTTTATCTAGTTACATTAAATTTGTATATACTTATATATCTAATATTTAATTTTTTTATTTATTTGTATAATATCTTGATTGTTAATGGCATAAAAAATGTTATTTATTTATATAAATGAAATAAAATTTAGATATATAAATAATAAATGCATAAAAATTCATTAATATCTATTTATTATTTCCAAAAAAAAAAAAAAAAATCATTAGCGGCATGGCTTAATAAACCAAGTTGGAAATGTGTTGCTTCATGGAAGTACCGGTAACGCAGAAGAGTTAGTTTTTTATTTTTTTAAGGCGTCGAGCAAATTTATTTATAATTATGAAAAATTAGTAATTCAATACATATGTCCTTGAATGATTAAAAACATGAAAAACGTGAAAAATAAGATATTAGACACGTGCGATATGTCTAACTCACATGTCTAATACACATATTCTTGAATAATTAAATTTAAATAATTATATTCCTAATAGATCATATTTTTGTTTTATTTCTATCAATTGCTTTCTATATAATACTTATGAAATGCAAGGAAATATTTTTATTTTATTTTTTTACAACCTTAAATATCATGATTTTTTTTTTCACGATTAGAATGTTACAATTTTATAATTAATTTCATGTTTCATTTTATTTGTGTAACTACTATATAATCTTTGTAAATTTTTAAATATATAAATTATAAAATGATGAAAGATTAACTTTATCTTGTATTTTCAATAATAAACGTATGTCGTGTTTGTGTTATATTATATATATATCATCGCATCACAAATTTAGCTAGAGTTAAAATAAAAATAGTTAATTTTAAATTCAGATTAGTTTACTCAAATTAGACAAAGGCTTTGTTTAGGACAATTTTTTTATTGCTTTCTAAAGCAGTGCCGAATGTTGACCATTAAAAGAGAAGCATAATCTAAGTTAAGTGTGGCAGAGATGAGGATGCTTAGGTGGATGAGTGGCTTGACCCTTAGAAATATGATACGAAATGAGCATACACGTGAAAAGGTTGGAGTAGCTCCAGTGGAAGATAAGATTAGAGAGAGTCGCCTTAGATGGTTTGGTCATATTAAACGGAGGCCTTCCAATGACCCGGTTAGGAAAGTTGAGGTATTAGATTTGACTTATGTTAAGAAAGGTAGAGGTAGACCTAAAGAATTAGGTTAGAAAAATATTAGAAATGATATTTCTTTATTAGATTTAAATGAGAATTTGACTTTTAACCGAACACAATTACGAAAAAGAATACATGTAGCCAACCCCACGTAGTGGGACAATGGCTTGATTTTATTTTTGTTGATGTTATTTCTAAAGCAGTTTTTAAAAAATTGTTTTAGAAAGCAATAAGAAAGCTTTCTCAAACAAAGCGCAATTATCATTCATTGTGATGACTCCTTTTTTATAAGCTTCAATCAAAGTTTAATTTATTAACTCATTATTTTTAGTGTGCCCATTTCAAATTTAAAATTTATAGATATAGATTACAATATTAGTTAAAACTAGATGCTCTCATGAATTTCATTTTGATTCAAAATACCCTAAAAAATATTTGAGCCTAAAGAGGTTTGTTTGAAATATGATTTCAAATAGCTTGACTTATATATAATAATTTTGTATTTTTATATTTATTTTTAGGTAAGAAATTAAGTATATTTGTGAATTCTTTTTCTTTACTTGGTTACTTGAAAATTGGATTAACAAATATTATTATTCGCTGCAAATAAATTTCCTAAGTTTCTCTTCATGATGTCAAAGCAACAATGACGACCCTCTCTCTTTGTGTCTCTCATTTATCCTACAATGATTAAATAAGTATCACAATACTTAAATCATAATAAACTTGAAGTCTGTTTGTGACAGATTTTTCATTATTTCGCTTTTCAGATCGTAACGTAACCTATTTGGTTGCTACTTTTTTATTGCATTTCAGATTTGTTACTAAGTCATAATTGTAATAAAACAATCGCAATATTTTTTAATATATATATATAATATTCATAACAACTTTCAAAATAGTTACTTTCACCATAATGACTTCACAACTGCCTTTATCAAATATTGCAGTCATCTAAAATAGACACTTAGAGCATCTCCAACCGAAAATCTCATTTTTCATTCCAAAATGCAGTTAAACTAAAAAATGTCGTGATTCATCTCCAATCGAACTCCATTTTTTTCCCTTTAGCAGGTAACAATCATCTTTTCTTTCGCACGGCAAGTTCAATAGAGACATAAAGATGACGAAGATAAACAGTGCAACGTCAATATTGTCGTCCCACTGTTCATCCGCAGCCAAATAGCGGAAGTTTTATCGTTCGGCTGGAGCGGACGAGAGACGCCATTCAAGCGTTTGGAGTTCGATTGGAGATGCCCTTGACAAAATTGCAACTATAACTTTTATTAATCTCAATGCATAAATTAAACTCACTCCCTCTAATAATGCATCACAATGATTACAATTACATGTTATCTAATGATCAGATGGGCTAGATTGATGAATTCTCATCTTTTCTACAAACCTTAACTACTATAGATGATAATATCATCACTGAATTTGTCAATTACATCTATTAATTTGTTTGGGAAGAATTTTTTTGCGAGGCTGCAAATGATGCGGAAAAATTAATTTATCTGGAAAAAGCATTACATCATAAGCAACATTATAACAATCACCAGCACAAACAGATCGAAGGAGAACACACCTCTCCCACATCACACCTAACCCTGCTTGTCCACTATAACAACACAAGCAACTCTCTGAACTGGTAAAGATCTAAAAAAAAAAAAAAACTTACAGAAGACTCCATGATTTCATATGGAATCATCATCACAAAATCACACAGAAACCTGAATAAGTTGAGAACAAGTAATGCGATGGAGATGCGAGGCTGCAACTTCAAAAATTATGCAGCCATAAACATGGAAGGTAAATAGACTATCACAGGCTGCTGGTTAAAATTCTGCAATCTGTGAACTATTCAGAGAGAGAGAGAGAGAGAGAGAGAGGGAGGGAGGGAGCAAAACTGAAATGAATCTGGACAGATCAAATCCAGCTTCAGACACAATGAGCAGACCAAATGCATTACCAAGAGAAGAATCATGGATGCTTCGACATGAACATGGAAGAAGGAAAAGACTGAGAGGCAGAAGAAGAACTCTCCATTTCCTCGCTACCAGTTGCCATCAGCGGCGGAGGTGGCGGTGTCTTCGGGGCGGCAGAGCAGTCGGTTTGAGCTTCTGAAACAGGGTCTAACGGAGAGTGAAAAAGCAAGCTACCTCCAGCTCCATCAACATCATCCCAAACAGAACTCCCAGGCCCCCAAGTATTAAACCAGGCCTCCTCCGCCTCACTCCAGACCAATTCCGTCCCCAACGAACTCTGCTCCACCGCCGCCACTTCTGAGCTCTGCTCTCTGTTGTCCAAAACTTCCACCTTTGTCTCCGGCAGTTGCGGAGTGGAAGAAGAAGAAGTCACTTCCTTAGTGCTCTTGCCGAGGAATAAGTGGGGGAAGTTAAGCCGGGCGTTCTCGCCGCGCAGTCTAAAGGCTTCGCGGTCGTAAGCGAGAGCAGCATCCTCGGCAGTGTCGAAGGTGCCGAGCCATAGCCTGTTGCGGTTCTTTGGAAGGCGAATCTCAGCTACCCATTTGCCCCAGTGCCGTTGCCTCACTCCTCTATATAGCTTCGCAGGAGGCCTGGAAAGCGACGCGGGCGAACTACCTCTCCCTTCTAAGAGGCTCGTCATCATCATATTTCCGCGCGGGCTGAGGTTCAGCGAATCGCTCCAGTATTTGAGCAGCTGCTCTGTATACCTCTGCTGCAATCCTTCCGTTAGAAACAATGAAGACGGTGGAGGAGTGGAACTGAACTGGTTTTGGGCGAAAGATATCATTTTTTGTTGATTAAGTGGAAGAAGTGAGGATGCCATGGAAGAAGGATGTGAAGCTTCGTAAGCAAAAGGGAAGATTGGGAGGGGAAGAGAAGCCGTCGCTGGAGCTGGGGTTGATGGAGAGGAGGGATTAGAAGAGAATCGACCTGGGCTTCTGATCTTCTTCAGTGGTCGGAGTGCCGCTGCGCGTGCCTCTTCAAAAAAAGGCATCGAGGGGGTTTCAAACTCCACTGGTCTCCCCGCCGGCGTGTCGAGCTTCAGACCCTTCCCCTTCTGCTTACGCTTCTCGTCTCCTTGAGCCTCACTTGGAAATTTCCCATCACCCTTTCTCGTTTCTTCCATTGATCCCCAGAATGCAAGAGAAGAAGAAGGTCTAAGGCCGCCCAGCAAAGCTAGTAAACTACAGATAATTCAAAATCGAACTTTGAAGCGAAAAAAGAAAAACCAAATATCAATCTCTGGTTCCTAAATATATCAGAAAACTATGAAATCTTTTAGACAAAAACAACAAAAAAGCAAGTTACTAGGAACTGTTTCGTCAAAGAAGCATTTGATCAAACACCATGAAAGCATAGGAATGAACAATTCAAGTCCCGACCACGGCGAACAAAACTAGCCGGATTTGATGGGCTCTAAATCAATCACCAAATTAAAGCTTTCATCAACAACGACAACAAAACAACAAGAAACTACTACTTATTTCTCCAAAGAAGCCATCCAAAAAAACCATGACGGCCGAGAAATGCAAGGAAAAAAAAAAAACCAAATTTTGATTTCCGTTTTATAAATAAGTTAGCAAACTAGGAAGAAACTAATGATTGTTTCTGCAAAGAAGCAATCCATGGAACAACATGAGAAAGGATTAACGACCAAATCAAACTTGGATCTGTAGAAAGAAAAGACCAGATTTTGATTACTAAGTTTACCAATCATCAAACTAAAACGCTTCAAAAGAAGGAAAATATGGACAGCAAGAAAAAAAAAAAAAGAAGAGTAATGTAAGAGAAAGAGGACAGGGCGGCCAAAGATAAAAGGAGTAAGGAGTGAGGAGCGTTGGAAGAAAGCGAGAACGAGTGTTGAGGGCGTTAATGGAGGTAGGATGCCCAGCTTCTCACTTCAGCTGGCTTATAAAGCTCTCCAAGGCATCACCGAAGGGAGTCGAAAGAGCGTTCTCAGAGCAGTGAAAGGCCTCCGACGACTATCTCGGGTCATTGGTGCCCACAGGGGCCCACGCGCACTCGCTGAAAACCGATCCCAGCAACACGAATTAGGAACTAACTCATTGTTTGTTTGTTTTTTTGTTTTTAAATTAAGGCAAATTCAATTACACATCCAATACACAAATAATTAAATTCAATACCTCTTAGTTGGTAGCCTAAGCTCTCAACCAACAGGTCAAGATGAGTTGTGTTAACTCATTGTATTCAACAAATTGACTTGTTTAAAAAATTGGGTCGGATTCTGGTTGACTCAGAAACTTGAAAATGATCTGTATTTGATCTGAAAATATCAATTCACTCCCGCCTAAAGCCCTAACCCGAAAACCCGACCCGAAGGTAAAGAATTTCTCCCGTGATTTTGTGTCGGGTCGGGTGAACCTAGAAACTCGATGGGTCAGGTCCGGGTTGAAAAACCTGACCCGTTTGAAAAATCTGGTAGGATTCAGATTGTGTCAAACATTGGCGGGTCAGAATTGGATTCAACCCGAACCCGATTTTGACACCTCTATACTCAAGCTTCAATCAACCGATCAAGATAAGCTGCATAAGCTATTGGTTGACAATGCTTTTAAGTTCATTTTATTCTCTAGAGTATGTACTTCATAGCATTTTTATTATTTTAAAATTATATTCTATCAATTATATGAGAAATTTAAGTTTTATTTGGGACAACTTTTGACTACTTTTTCTTTGTTTAAAAAAAAAAGTATTAAGAAAGCTGCTTAGAAAGCAATAAAAACATGTTCCCAAACAAATCCTTGGGCATATTTGAGATAAATTTTTCATTATTTCATTTCTGGTCGGACCGGCCGGTCCGGTCCGGTTTTCAAAACAATGGTTAGGAATCTATTTTTTTTCATAAACTTTCAAAAAAGTTACATTCCAAGCAACATATTTATAATCATTTTTATAAAAATTTGTAACCATCCTAAATATAACCTTAAATTAATAGAAACACTTTTTGCATAATTTATTGGATACAAATTAGTTAAAATTAAAATTTAAAGTTTAAGCATAAATTTACAAGGCATAAAATTCAAATACTAGTAAATATATACTCTAGATGATGTAATTTGACATAGTTTGAGGATACAAATCTAATATGACGAAAATAGCATGATTTTGTATTATGACGTCTAACACTTCATCTGGTTTTACTGTAATTAGCTTAGTCCTTTACTTGCATTGTATCTATTTATACTCATGCCCTGTACAAGTCTGATATACAATAATAAAGATTTCCTTCTTCTTTACGTTTTCGTTCTCTGTTTCTTCTTCTTCCTCTCTATTTGTTCATGGTATCAGAGCAAGGCTCCGTCCATGACTGATCAAGAATCAGGCGCTTCTCTTCCAGCCGCCTCCTCCTCCTCCTTCACCACCTCCGGTAACACTTCCGATTTCACTATTCCTGCACCGCTTAAGTTCTTGATATCCAATCTCAAGAACTTGGTTCCCACACCCTTGTCCGCCAACAACTACCCAATCTGTCGAATACAACTTCTCCAGCATTTCTCGGCGAATGGTTTCGCCGGACATCTCACCGGTGATTCTCATTGCCCGCCCGAATCAAACAACTACAATCACTTTAAATGGAAGTTGATCGATCGTAATCTGATTTATGTACTCTATTCTACCATTTCCTCTGCCATCTTACCATACGTTCTCCACTCTCATATCGCACATGAAATCTGGACCATTCTTGAACAAAGACTGCAACCTTCGAACCTTTCTCGAGTCATCCAACTCAAGAACGAGCTCCACAACATCCAAATGCAAAACTCTTCTATGCAAGATTACCTCATGAAAATCAAAATTATCGTGGACAGCATCGCTGCCTCGGGTTCTACCACAGATATCGAGGTTATTCTCCTCTATATCTTGAACGGCCTTCCCTCGTCTTACAATTCCTTTAAGACTGCGATTCACACGTCTCTCACTCCAATCGACCTTGACACCTTGTAATCTCTTCTTTGCAGCGAAGAAATAACTTTACAACAAGAATCTCCACGGGCAGCTATCGTCAACTCTGACTCCACCGCTATGTACACAAATCGCTCAAACTCTGATCGAGGTAAAGGTTCTTATCGTCATTCCAAGAACCAAAACAATTACACTCGCACCCAGTCCAACATCACTGGTCGACCGCCCTCTGGTTCTGTTCCTACCGATTGTCCCATATGCCATATTTATGGGAAACCCGGTCACCTTGCCATAAATTGTTGGCATCAATGCAATTTAAAATACGCCCCAACCACTTCATCTTCTCAGCGTGCTCTTCTCACTCAACAGACCAACACCTCAACCCGTGACTGGGCTCTTGACTCGGGAGCCTCTACGCATCTCACCAATGATTTCTCCAATCTTCAACACGGCTCCGCCTATCAAGGCCAAGACACCATTTCTGTTGCCAATGGGGCCTCCTTGCCCATCCAGAACTCCGTCAGGGGATCCTTCCGCTACCCAACTCCGCTCGTAAGCTTCATTTACTCAATCTTTTACATGTTCCAACCCTCACACATAATCTTATCTCAATTGCTAAACTAACTTATGATAATCAAGTTTCCATTCGCTTTGATGCTAATGGGTTTGTTATTGAGGATCTTCAGGAATTGAGTAAATGTATTCGTTGATCTCAAATCAACAATTACATTTTCAATTTGATTGTCTTGCATGATGAGATTCATCTCTAAAAATCCAATAGATAATTTTATGTTTATCACATGCAAGAGATAGATTGCTAGTAAAAAAAATACATGTCAGGCTGTCAAGAGTACTCAAAAGAGTTGGATAGCTAGGATTTTTATCTTTCAATACTGCAATCTATTCAATATGCAGTTAAAAGAATTTCCTAGTCTTCACTCGGAAAGGAAACAGAACTGTCACTCTGTCAAGAAAAGCATACAAATAATCAAAATAATCACAATATAGCTCCCATAAAGAGAATAATGATAATAAAATTAAAAAGAAATTTTGAACTGTCCGCTACATTAGGGAAATAAGAAGAAACTTTGTTCACAAAAAAGAACACAAAAAAGATCAATCCACTCTTTCAAACTCTATACCACATTTACTAAAATGGCACGGTATAATAATAGGAACTTACTTCATAAAATACTTGCATATTAAGGAAATACGAAGAGACTTTGTAGTTCAATTCAATCAAAATTTGAGATGAGTGACCTCCTGTGAAGTTTTATCAACATGACAAAATAATGAGGCCCTTAGGTCAAAGTGGACAATATCTCTATAGTTAATAGTTTATGCTATAACAAACGGTATCAGAGCGATACACCAGCTGGAAGATGAAAAGTAAATGTCATACAAGATAAAGTGTTATGCCATGTGAGACACCACTTGAACCATGTATTGGACAAAGTGCTATGTGACATGAGTTACTATTTGAATTTGTGGTGGCCACCTCTAGAATCTTATCTGTCTGTTGGATGATTCTGAGATAAAGATGCTAACGATGACGTTACTTATTTAAGTGGGGAAGATTATGAAACCCATTTATGTAAAAGGAGCTATACTATTAAACATCAAGGTGTCTTTTGGTGTAATGATTATAATTTTATTTAAGGAGCTCCGTAGTTAAGTGTGCTCATCCTGGAGAAATCCTGGATGGGTGACATCTTTGGAAGTTATACCAACAAGACAAAATCATGAGTTTCTTAGGCCAAACCGAACAATATCTCTATAGTTAAGAGTTTAGGCTGTTACATGAAGTGTGGGCGTTTGAACGAGAGAGATGACCATGATGACTTTAGTCTGTGTGCTCATGAAAGAAACGGTCTTTTGCCTTCGGTTCGTGCCCTTGCGGACATGAAAAGCTGGACGAGATTCAAGATGAAGAAAAAAAATCTAATGTTATGAATTTATTTTAGGCAGTAATTAAGTAGTTATAAATACCTTTAATTAAGCATTAACTACACATCAAGTAGGGGCCTTGTCCCTGGGCCCCTAGCTTAAATCACATCAAGTAGGGGCCCGTGTCCCTGAGCCCCTACCTTAATTCTATCCCCGAGAGTCACACCCCAAAATCTAAATTAGGAGAAAATTTCTTTTATCTTTTATATAACAACAAAAGTTGTATAATTTATTTCAATCATAAAATATTAATGAAAGTAAAATCTATTGATTAAAATATTAATATACATGTACTCACTATTCAAAAATTATGTATAATAGCTAGGAGCCTTACAAATTTCAATGCACCATCTGCCAACTTCTGGTTACAAAAGAATATCAAAAGATTAGAAGAAAAACCAGTAATGCATCCTAGTAGCTAGTCACAATAAACAAGTAAAAAGTTATGACTTGCGTGGTATTTTTTCAATAATTAGTAAATGTCGACTCAATAAATATAATTATCACTCTTTGCCTGTAGACATAATAATTAATTCCTCAAACTCTTAATCATTGAATCACGTGAATCAGTAGACGATAAAACCAAATCATATTATTTTAAGGAAAATTCGTCAGCAAACCGTCTTGATCAAGTAAATAAGTCTCCAGCCAATATCAGTGAGTAACCAATATTTAGTTATTTTCACACACATTATTATTCAATATTATAAAAATAGTACGCTTGCAATAACAATCGAATCAGATTAAAATATCACTATTCTTATTAAATCATACAAAATAAAATAACTATATTTAAACCAGTGAAATTAGAAATCAATCAGTCTAAATATCCAGAATGATTATTTCTACAACATATAATAAGTTAGACAGTAGAAGTTCACTAAATCCAGAAAAATACAATTAAAATCATTTTGGGAGGATTGAAATAGTTGAAATCAAAATATTTGAAAACAAAAATGGGAGAAAAGTCACCAACGACGATCTGATGAATTTTTTATAACAGTGATGAAAAAAACCAGTTGTCAAAAACTCAGTTTTCTCTTTTCACTCTCCTACTAGCTTCCTCTTCTCTTATTTCCTTCCA